ATCCTGAGCGAAGTTAATCAATCACAAAAGGACAAATACCGTATGAGACTACTATTGTAAAAAGTCAAGAAAAGGGTGCCACACAAAATATATATATATATTCTTTGATGGTTACCAGGAATGAGTGGGAAAGGGGGAGTAAAACACCAACTAGAGGGTAGATACATATTAACTTGGGTGAAGGGAAAAATGACTAAATAAAAAAGAAAGAAAGAACTTCCCATAAGTCCCACCCAGCAGTTTTCTACGTATCTTATTGGCCAGATGATACCAAAAGCCACACCTAGTTTAAAGATGGCTGGGAAAAGGTGTTGTTTGGGGTAGGAGGCTGTAGTCAGCCAATGAACAAAATTCAGTCAGTTAAAATGATAAAGACTGGTGGAACTCCCAATACATAGCCCTTAGACACTCTTATAGCTAGGAACTGAACTGTCAGCCAAATGATAGAGGGTATGTACTTATTAGAACAATCAAGCATATGAGATCAAGAGGACAGAATTTGCCCAGGGATAGAGCTTAGATGGTGGGACAGAATGGGAAGGAAGGATGAAGGGAAGGGATGTGTACAGGGAGGAAGTGGAAAGAACACTGTTATGGTGTGAGGATTTCAGTAAATGTCACAAAACAGAATGTGTATGAATTGTTGAATGGAAAATCAATTTGCTCTGTAAACTTTCACCAAAATCACTATATATATATATATATATATATATAGATAGATAGATAGATAGATAGATAGATATAGATATGAATTACATATATATAATTCAAATATTTAAATTAGAATATTTTTGTAATTTGTGTATGCAGAATAACTTACTAATCAAAAAATTAAATACATAAAGTTAGAGTACCAACAACAGAGCTCCTACAAGTGACAATGATGCTTAGCATCACTAGTAAAAATAACGTGAAAAAGGAAAGAAAAATATATCATACTCTCTATCAGATTGGCAAAATTTAAAAAGATGAGTTGGAGGAAAATACATACTCTTAGATATTGAACCAGCAGTCATTTTAAAGGTAATATGACATCACATATAAATTTTTTTAATTATATATTCTTTGACCTAGCAAATTCTCAATACAGATTCATCATAGAAAAATACTTCCACATGCCCAAAAGTATGTATATGTAAGGAGGGTCATTGAATTTTATTGCCTGCAGTGAACTGTTTTAGTTGGGGTGCTAATTCCTCTGTATCACAGCTGGGGTCTAGTAAAACTGAGTATTTGTGGTTATCAACCCTCTTTAGAAACTTAAAGAAGTAGTTTTTAATTTAAAAATTAAACTCTTACTGTTTTTGATATTCTGAGAAGCTATGGCAAACATTTTGGTTAAATAGCAACAATCTGAGAATTTGTTATGCTTTTATCTTTCTTCATTCAGGTATTTCTCTCATTAAAAATTAGGCAAAATGGGTGTTTTGGTTACTTCATGTTGTTCTCACAGAAAATACCAAAAATGGTTGACTTTAGCAAACAGGAATTTATTCTCTTACAGTTTGGAGATTGGAAGTCTGAGGCAAAGTGCCAGGCTCTAGAGGCTGGATTAAAGCCCCTCGACCTAGGGCTGCAGCTCTGCCTCTTGTTCCCAGCTCACTGAAGCTGGATGCTTTCTTCACTCAGACAGCTGCTGGCTGCTGAGGTTAACAAACCCAAGGTTGACAAGTAAAAAGGCATAGTGGCGATATCACCAAAGCATGTGGCAGGCCATTGATTCAAGTCCATTAAGAATCCCAAGATTGGCAAACAACATGGCAGGCTGCTGAATAACGACTCGGCTACCTGCAGAATTCGAGCGTACCAAAAGCTGCAGACATGTCTCCAGGCTTCTCCTTATATATTGGAAACAGACCAATTCCTAAAGCAGCTACTCAGCTGCTCCAGTAGATTCCACCATGGAGTTGATTACCATTCTCACCATGGGAAATAGTTATATCCATCTGCCCAGCCACTCAAAACCAAGCTGGCACATAATGTTATCTACCACAATGGGTTACAAGAAAGCACAAGTGAGAGCACTGGTCCTTAAGAACATCTCTGTAGATTCCTATTTCTCTAACTCAAGGTTTGCCCAAGATACTTCATGCAAAGATAAAGTGAATATACAAAGTATAGTAGGGTGAAAATGATTGTGTCATTACACAGAGTTCTTACTTTGAAAATGGTTAATATGTAACCAGCGGAAATTTCTTTCCTAATCACCAAGAACTACATGTAACTAAAAGTGTTCTTTTAGTTAACTAAGTGTACAATTGTTAAAATTAGAGGACTTTATGTAATTCCTAGAAATATTAGAATTCCTACAACAATATAAGGGAAAGGTATTTTTCCTATTTATTGTTATTAGGGCCCATATACCAGCCTACTTTTTTTTCCCCCCTCAATTCCCCAAACACTCTTCCTTGTTCTTTATGTCATGTGTTTTCCTGTCTTCTTCTTCCCTGCTTTCTTTTCCATGAACTGCCTTTCTTCTTTCCCCTAGTTTCATTACTCTCTTACCCCTTCCCCTCAGCTTCCTAACAGTAATTACTTGCTATATACATCAAAGTTCTATAGAACCTGTCAATGTGTGTTCTCCCTTTTCTGTCAAGCACTTGTTCCTCAGGTAAACCAACTTATTTATTTGCTGGAAATTCTGAGTGATGCAGTCCCTATACAAAAACCAAGAACATATACTTCCTCCTCACTCATTAAGATTCAAAATATAAATATTAGCTTTCACTTGTATATTAAAAGGAGCTCTTGAAGTATATTGGTTAAGGCACTCAGCTGTTAACTAAAAGGTCAATGGTTCGAACCCACCAGCTGCTTTTCAGAAGATAAATGATGCAGTCTGCTTCCATAAAGATTTACAGCCTTGGAAACCTAGTGGGGGTCTCTATGAGTTGGAATCAACCCAATGGCAGTGAGTTTGGTTTTATGGTTTGTATAGTAAGGTTTACAGTTTTAAATGCTCTGTCACATATAGCATTTTGTATAAAATTATCCCATGAAGCTGATAGCAAAGATACTGTGATGGTTATGTTTGTGTCAACTTGGCTGGGCCTGGTTGAGTGGCTAGGCAGCTGGTGGTAGTTATTCTCCATGGTGAGACTGGTAATCAACTCCATAGTGGGATCTACCACAAGCAGCTGGGTAGCTGCTTTGGGTATGTGGTCTGCTTCCCATATATAAGAAGCAGTTTTGAGAATGGTCTCTAGCTTATGGCACGCTTGGGCCCTGCATGTAGCCGTGTCGTTGTTCAGCAGCCTGCCATGCTCTGCCAACCTTGAGACTTACAATGGACTTAAATTAATGGTCTGCCATGCGGTTTGGTAATACCAAGATTGTGCCTTTTTATCTGCCAAACTTGGGTTTGTCAGCCTCAGCAGCTAGCAGTTGTCTGAGTGAAGAAACGCCTCTAGCCCCAGTGGGCCAGGAGCAGGAAGCAAAGCTGGACCCCAAGGTTGAGGGGCTTTCACCCAGCCCCTAGAGCCTGGCATTTTGAACTTGGACTTAAAGTCTCCAAATTGTAAGAGAATAAACTCCTGTTTGTTAAGGCCATCCCATTTGTGGTATATTCTTGTCAGAGTGGCACTAGGTAACCAGAACAGATATTATTAAAAAAAAAAAAAAAAAAAAATGATAATAAAATACCATTGCCGTTGAGTCGACAGACTCCTGGTGACGCTGTGTGTAGAGTAGAGCTGTGTTCCACAGGGTTTGCAAGGCTGTGCCCTTTGGGAACCAGATCACCAGGCCTTTCTTCCAGGCACCTCTGGGTGAATTCAAACCACCAAGCAAGGGGCAGGTTCCCAATAAGCAAGGTAAGCATGGGCTTACGTATGCTTACTAATCAGGAGTAAACAATTTCACATCAAAAATATGGTAGAAAAACATGTGAAACTTCATCACAGATGACTATGTAAGCACATGTAAGCCTGTACTTATTTTGCTTACTGGGTACTCTGCCCCTGTCAGGAACTATAAATTTGAAAAGGAGTTTTGATTCTGTGGGATGGTGTTGTGGGGTCAGGAAAGAGATAGATGCCAGCCATAGCTAACAGCAGAACCTTTCATGTGGTAGAGAAAATATGAAATTGTTCACTATGAATTCGTAAATAAGCACAAGTAAACCCATGCTTGCCTTGCTTATTGGGTAATCTGACACTGCCAACAACCTTTCAGTTCACTGTTGAGTACTTAACCGTTTGTGTCTCTCAAGGTCTCTTACAGATATTATTACTCTCACATTTATTAGCTAGAAAGCTGAGGCTCAAAGAGGTTAACTGGGTTACTCAGAACCATACAGCTAAGGCAGAACTATAAAACTCAGGTGTCCTGCCAACTCTCCAGTCATTTTTTCCCCTCAAGCTCATTTTTCTTCTCCCCAAGAAAAGAAGGCTTTGGCTTGGGAAAGGGAACATCTTAGACAAAATGTTCCTTTTTACCTCTGATTGTACTGAAAGTAGGATCACTCCTCCTGAGGATAATTCCTCCGTCTACAATCTTAATATGACCACTCCACAAGCCTCAGAGTCCTCATTCTAGATTATCACCTCTCCCCTGTCCTTTGCTCCTCCCACTCAGCATTTAAGAAAGTAACATTTCCCTTAAACTTGTCCAAGTCTCTCTCCTTTTGAAGAAATCTGCCTTTCTCCCAGCCATCCTTGCCAAAAAGTACTGCCGTATTATTCTCCTCCCTTTCAGACAAACTCTGTCTGGGAAACTGTTTGTGAGTCCTCCTATTACCCTCATTCCTTAACCAGCTGCAATCATGTTTCTGCACTACACAGATACTGAAACAGCTGGGTCCCAATGCTTGACAGTAATTAGGCCGTCACGCTGTCACTGAGAGCAATGACCCTTCCAGAAAATGTTTAGCGACCTCAACTTTGTTTAGAGACCTTGTGTGGGTGGAACTTCCTGTTTTGCACAGAAAGTGCAGCATAAAGCCTAGTTGCTCTGAGGTGCTTTGGGACCAGACCGAAGTGCAGGGAGTAGGGTACAAAACAACCTGGTCTCCTCGGGGCCCTTCTCCCTGCAGCATGGCGAAGAACAAACTTCTTCCTCCAAGTCTTATTCTCCTCCTCCTGGTCCTCCTGCCCACAGTCTCTGGAAACCCGTGAGTTCCCTATAGAGTTTGAATTTTAAAAGTCTTTTCCTTTATTTCAGATTTTTCTTTTATATCATTTGCCTTTTTTATGAAATTGCCACTTTCTTTTCTCTAATGTCCCTTTCAACCATGAGGTTTGCAACTCTGATTTATTCATTCTTCTCTTTGTGCTTAACCATTTCCCTCTGACTGTCGGGATCTCTGAATGTCTAAATTTCCTCTAAACTCCTTTTAAGATGCATCAGACATTGGTACTTATAAAGGAATTGATTTCCAGATCCTCATTATACATACATACATGTATATGTATAATATATGTATATATATAATTCATGTTGATCTGCTTAAGACTGTGCTGTTTACCCTCCTTACTTGTCCATCCTCTACTTCATAAAAGAAAGATAAAAGTCTCTTCCTCAATCAGATCTTACTATGGAGCATTGTCTGGGGTACATAAACCTCTAGTGTGCCGAATAAGGAACAATTTGAAATACTTATATTGATGTTGGGAAAGTGAAGGACTCTAATGACAGGGGAGATAATCCTTCTTCAGGTCAAATAGTGACATATTCTTTGTTTCAACAAACTTAAAGAAAGCCTGAGGGAAATATCACCTCATAGATTATTAAAAATAATTCTTAATAATAGGCACTGGGTGATTTTCAACATGTAATGCCAAAGGAGTTGCAAGATGAAGATGCCAACGATACAATCATTTTGCATGTCATTTAATTACTTATTTCTGTGAACAATTTTTCTCAGTACATATACCTACCTACACAAGCCAAATTTAGGGACAGAATTAATGTTAGACCTTGCTTCATACTTGCAATAATATTCATTTATGGATACCTAAGTTTGGGGAGGGAGGTGAGCAGCTTATCATTATTATCATTATCATTAAAGATATACTTTAAAAGTATATCTTTATTATAGCTAATAACTATAAATCAGAATACATAATATATTTATTTTGTTTTGATCAATTGTAAACCAGTAAGACTTTTAAAAATAATTCTGAAGAAACAGTATGGTCACATTAAATTTAAAAGAAGACTTAAAGTTAAACTTATATACCCATACATAGTATGTTATGTATAGATACTTGCTAACAAGAAGTAAGAGAGACTCAAAATATTTTGAAGCATAAACGTCCTAGGATAAATTTCTGTGTGATAAGTAGCATGGAAATTCCAGTTCAAGCAGGGGAAGTAATTAAAAAAAAGAACTTTTAAATATATTTTTTAAATAAATTATATCAGGCAGTTTACACTGTGATCTTTTAAGATTCCTTAAGAATCTTATAAAATAGTAATCCAAACAAAAAAACAAACTCACTGCTGTTGAGTTGATTTCTACTCACAGCGACTCCATTGGGTTTCCAAGGCTGTAAATCTTTACAGAAGCATACTGCCCCATCTTCTGCAGAGCAGCTGGTAGGTTTGAACCACTGACCTTTTGGTTAGCAGCCAGATACCTTAACCACTACATGACCAGAAGTCCTTAAAATAATAATAGAAGTTTTAATTTAAATGTCATAAGAAATAATCTTTTGGCTGTTATTAAAACTTGTGATAACAAAATAGATATTTACTTGAAAATATGAAAGGAGTGCATATACAAAAAAATTATTTTAGGAGTTCTGTGAGCAAGAATGTTTGAAAAGTACAGGGTCATGTATATTTTACATTATACATGAGGGTATTAGGAAACTTTCTGTCTTGTTCATGAGTTACAAAGATTCAAAACTAAATGACTAGAAGACTATTCTTTGGGTGAAGCCATTGTTTAGCCATGAAACATTGAAAGGCAAATATTTAAATGCAAACATCCATGGTTAGGTAACACACTAAGACTTGATTAGGTTTTTTTTTACCACAACTGAGACTTTAAACTCTAAACTAGTGACTCATTCTCTTTGAGCCTCAGATTGCTTATCTATAAAATAGAAGAAAATACTTCCCATATCATTTTCACAAGGTTGTCAGAGATATATATATTTTATATATAAATCTATATACCTCGATATATATCAAGATATATATCTGTATGCTTATTTATATCTAGATAGATAGATATTTAATGAAAGTTCTGTGAATTGATTGGTTTTGCAGTGTCCACACAACTGAGAGCTTTCTTTTCTGAGCAATCCTAATGTAAAGTCAATTTACAACATGTTTAAACATAACCAAATTTTATAATTTGAATTCAGATGCTTACATATGGAGGTTCCTTAAAGTGAGGTATTTAATATTCATACAACCCACATCAAGTGAAATGTTCACTGCAAGGCACTGCTGATAGAAAAGGGAAATCATTCTCACTCACCAAGAGATTAATTTCATAAACATCTTGATGTAAAACTAACGATGGTAACAGTAATTATTATGGAAAACAGACGGGTTGATAATAATGTCTCTGCTCTTACTGACCTTCCCCCTCTGCTGCCCACCTTCCCAGACACTATATGGTACTGGTCCCCTCCCTGCTTCATACTGAGACCCTCGAGAAAAGCTGCCTCGTTCTGAGCCACCTGAATGAGACAGTGACTGTAAGTGCTTCCTTGGAGTCTGTCCGGGTAAACATGAGCCTCTTCACTGACCTCACAGCGGACAAGGACTTATTCCACTGTGTCTCCTTCACTGTAAGTACTGCTGTTTGACTTAAATTCTCAGTTCTATTGGTCAGGGCCTTAGGGATCTAGTGTTCACTCAAGGAAAGGATTTGAGAAGTTGATAAGGACTTCAGGAAAGAATCTAAATGTTGCAAGTTAGTGTAGTAACTAAGTCACAAAGCATACATTTCTAGCCATGAGAAAGAAATATGTATAGGCATATTAAAAATCAACTTAACTCTGTACCTACATACAAGTAGAGATAATTGTATAGAATTTTACAAACATGACTTAATATAGTCAATACATGATGTTTTGTAAACCTGGGTGTTTTAGGGAAGAAATACATCATTTTTAGGTAAAATCAAAAGGCTTGAGTATAGTTCTCTACAGTTTCACAAAAGTCACCATTTTATATGAAGCATAAAAACAACCATAACCTTAAAATACATATCCCAAATTGACAATCCCAAAATGTTTATTGATGTTTCTGTCATTGGCTTTTCTCTCCTCTATTTATTGCAAGGCTAATTAAAAAAAAAAAAAAAAAAATTGCAACAATCACAACAAACAATCAATATACTAATCAAAGAAAAATTCTATTTGCCATAACAATAAACAGTATGTGTTAGACAAAGAAAAAATGTGATCACCAAGCAAGATGGAAAAAGCATTAATAAAGAAATTAGGCCAAGGCTCAACATTAGCCACCAGTGGTGGGCTGATAAGAATACACATCCCCACATTCTTTCTAAGCGTGAAAATTACAGAAACTATCCTCAGCAGATGTCCAGTATTGCTTCAGAATTGTCCATGTGGGATACTTACAGCCTACCTCCAATAAAATATTGAAATTTTTCCAAGACATATGTCTGCCCTTTCCTTTTAGCATGTCACATCAACTTGGAAATTGAATCAATACTATATTGGTTGAGCTATATGGAGGTATGATTCCCATTTTTAGACTTTATAACTAATGTATTTCCCTCCACCTATGGTCTGTCTCCCCATTTGTAAAATGGGACAATTAATTCACGTCCATGCTGGCTTTCCCTGGTAAAAATAAGAAAGAGAAGTAAAAAGGGTAAGAGCTCAAGGAAGAAGTGGGGTAGGAAATGGGAAAGGAGACTTGGGAGACTGAATGGGTTCTCAGGATGTCTCACATTTCAGGTCCCAAGATCTCCAGCCAATGAAGAGGTAATGTTCCTCTCTGTCCAAGTGAAAGGACCAACCCAAGAGTTCAAGAAGAGGACCACAGTGGTAGTTAAAAATGAAGAGAGTCTGGTCTTTGTCCAAACAGACAAACCCATCTACAAACCAGAGCAGACAGGTACGAAGAGGCCTACAGTCGGGATAATTTCAAATAGAAGAAAATCTTCCTTCCCTGAATGGTCGGTCTCCAGCCAAAGTTTCTGTAACTCTAGTGTCTTAATATCTTGTCTCACTGGCCTATAGGCCCAGTTTAGGGTTTCTGGAACTCATGGAAAATATTTCTGTTTTAGTGAAATTCCGTGTGGTCTCACTGGATGAAAATTTTCACCCTCGGAATGAGTTGGTGAGTCTCTTATTATCTACATAAAAACATTAATAATAAATGTATAAGCAGTCTGGGAACCTGTTTTTGGTACTGGGGGGAAGGAAAGGGAAAAGAAAGAATCTGGTATCACTGACAATAATTTCTGGTATCATAATAGCACAAGATCCTCATGTAAAACATTATTCAGGATCAAGAGAGGAATTAATTCTTACTATAAGGTCGCTATGAGTCGGAATTGACTTAATGGCAATGAATTTGTTTTTTCTGTTTTGTTATCTTGATAATAATTACTCACTTGTCAAACAATAAAACTTACTCTTTAGATAGTTTTCAGCTAGAAAATTAGAAGTAAATATAATTGGATACCTGAGGATGTAGAATTAAACACTTGGCTGATAACCAAAAAGTGTACAGTTCAAATCCAACTAGTGGCTCTGTGAGAGAAAGACCTGGCAATCTGCTTCCATAAAAGATTACACCCATAAGAACCGTATGGGGTAATTCTGCTTTTTCACATGGGGTCACTAGGAGTCAAAATCATCTTGATGGCATCTAATAATGTATTAAACAATAGATCCAGCTAAGCCATCAAAGCACTTTTGTTCAAATAACTTCTCAAATATGTAGACATTTTCTAAGCACACCTACCAAAACCTGTTATTAAATGAGATGAGGATAATCAATATTTGTTCCTCAAACTGACACTCATATTTATGCTAAGAAACAACTCTTTCTATTGTAATGCAGACATTAAATCAAAGTCTTAATTTTTCCCTTCCAAATCTGCTCCTTCACCGTGCTTTGTTATTTTAATGAGGCAATTCTTTTTTTCTAGCTCTTGAGGCAAAGGATTATGGCACAATTCTTGCTTCTTTTGTTTTTCACACACACACACACACACACACACACATCCACTTAATCAGAAAAAGCATATTGGCTAGAAATATATCCAGACTACTTCTTACCACCACAATTGCTACAACCTAATCTTCCAAACCAAAAACCAAACTCGTTGTCCTTGAGTCGATTTCTACTCATAGTGACCCCCTTTGGGTTTCCAAGATGGTAAATATTTACGGAAGCGGATTACCCAGTCTTTCTTCCATGGCGTGGCTGGTGGGTTTGAACTTCCAACCTTCTGGTCAGCAGTCAAATGCCTTAGGCACTATGCTAATCTTAGTCAACATCACCTCTAAACAAGGCTATTGCAATAACCTTAAAACTGTTCTCTCTACTTCTACTTTCACTCCTCTATCTAAAGTCAAACCCTCATCCTGCTTTTTTTCTTCAAGACATTTATTGCCACTTGCTATAAAGATAAAGATATACTAACCAGTTGCCACAGAGTCTCTTCCAACTCATGGTGACCCCCTGTATGTCAGAGTAGAACTGCACTCCACAAGGTTTTAAATGGCTGATTTTTTTCGAAGTAGATTATCTGACCTTTCTTCTGAGGGGCCTTTGGGTAGACTAGAATGGCCAACTTTTCTTTTGGCAACCAAGGCCTTAACCATTTGCACTACCCAGGAATTTTGAATATAGATAAAGACAGATATATTTGTGATTTTTTTTCTACTCTGTCCATCCCTATTAAAAGATAAGCTCCATGAGAGCAGATATTTTGTTCTTTTGTGCACTGCTATACTCCCAGTATTTAGAATGCTAACAAGGAGCTCTGATGGTGTAGTGGTTAAGGTACCTGGCTGTTAACCAGAAGGTTGGTGGTTCAAACCCACCAGTTGCTCTGTGAAAGAAAGATGAGGCAGTCTGCTTCCATAAAGATTTACAGCCTTGGAAACCCAATAAGGTTAGCTATGAGTCAGAACTTACTTGATGGCGGTGAGTTTGGTATTTTTTTCTTGGAGAATAACAGCACATAATAAGCACTCAATAAATATTAGTTTTTAAAGGTGAATAAACATTGATAGATGAATTATTCCCATCCCTCCGCACCCCTAGAACTACCTGAGAATTCTGTAGTCCATATTAATAATTGGATCTGATCATGGTTACTTATAGTTCGGTTAATATTTAATCTCTCAATCTGTAAACTCATTGCCATCGAGTTAATTCTGACTCATAGAGACCCCCGAATGTTCTTCACTGGCAGGCTATGAGCACTTATATAATATTGGTAAATTCCATTCCTAAAGAATGCAGTGCAAATATATATTTGTTGCTGATGGCCTGTTGCTGTTAAGTGCTGTCAAGTCATTTCTGACTCAAAGCAACCTTATCTACAACAGAACAAAACACTGCCCGGTTCTGTGCCAGCTTCACGATCCCTACTATACCTGAGCCCACTGCTGCAGCCACCATGTCAATCCATCTTGTTGAGGGCCTTCCCCTCTTTTGTTACTCTCCACTTTACAAAGCATGACAACCGTCTTCAGAAAATGGTCCCTTCTGACAATATGACCAAACTAGGTGAGACAAAGTCTGGCCATTCTCGCTTCCAAGGAGCATTCCAGCTGCACTTCTTCCAAGACAGATTTGTTAGTTCTTTTAGCGGTCCACGGTACTTTAAGCATTCTTTGCCAACACCACAACTCAAAAGCATCAACTCTTCTTTGGTCTTTCTTATTCACTGTCCAGCTCTCACATGCATATGAGGCGATTAAAAATACCATGGCTTAGGTAAAGCGCATCTTAGTCTACAAGGAAACATCTTTGCTCTTTAGCACTTGCAAGAGATTTTTTGCAACAGATTTTCCCAATGCAATATGTCTTTTGATGTCTTGACTGCTGCTTCCATTGGCATTGATTATAGAACGAAGTAATATGAAGTCTTTGACAACTTCAGTCTTTTCTCCATTCATCATGATGCTGCTTATTGGACAGGTTATGAGGAATTTTGTTTTCATGATATTGAGGTGTAATCCACACTGCAGACTGTAGGCTTTAATCTTCATCAGTAAGTGCTCCACATCATCTTCACTTTCAGCAAGCAAAATTGGGTCATCTGTGTATCTCAGGTTGCTAATGAGCCTTCCTCCAATCCTGATGCCATATTCTTCTTCATATAGTCCAGCTTCTCAGATTATTTGGTCACCATACAGATTGAATAAGTATGGTGAAAGGATACAATGCTGATGCACACCCTTCCTGATTTTAAACCATGCAATATCCCCTTGTTTTGTTCAAACAACAACCTCCTGGTCTATGGACAGGTTTCTCATGAGTACAATTAAGTGTTCTGGAATTCCCATTCTTCTCAATGTTATTCATAATTTGTTATGATCCACACAATCTAATGCCTTTGCATAGTCAATGAAACACAAGTAAACATCTTTCTGGTATTCTTTGCTTTCAGCCAAGATCCATCTGACATTAGCTATGATATCCCTTGCTCCACATCCCCTTCTGAATCCAGCTTGCATTTCTGGAAGTTCTCTGTGAAGATACTGCTGCAACTGATTTTGAATTATCTTCAGTAAGACTTTACGTGCATGTGATATCAATATTGTTCAATAATCTCCACATTCTGTGGGATCACTTTTCTTTGGAATGGGCACAAATATGGATCTTTTTCAGTCAGTTGGCCAGGTAGATTTCTTCCAAGAGAGCACCTCCAGCATGGCATCCATTTGTTGAAACATCTCAATGAGTATTCCTGGAGCCTTGTTTTTCACCAATTTCTTCAGTAGAGCTTCGACTTCTTCCTTCAATACCATTGGTTCTTGATCTTATGCCACCTCCTGAAATGGAGGGTCATCTACCAATTCTTTTTGGTATAGTGTCTCTGTGTATTCCATCCATCTTCTTTTGATGTTTCCTGCATTATTCAACATATTGCCCATGGAATCTTTCAATATTTCAATTTGAGACTTCAATTTTTTCTTCAGTTCTTTCAGCTTGAGAAATGCCAAGCATCTTCTTCCCTTTTGGTTTTCTAACTCCAGGTCTTTGCACATTTCATTATAATAACTGACTTTGTCTTCTCGAGTTGCTCTTTGAAATCTTCTGTTCAGCTCATTTATCTTGTCATTTCTTCCATTTGCTTTAGCTATTCTCTGTTCAAGGGCAAGTTTCAGAGTCTCTTCTGACATCCATTTTGGTCTTTTCTTCCTTTGCTTTCTTTTTAATGACCTTTTGCTTTCTTCTTGGATGATGTTCTTGATGTCATCCCACAATTCCTCTGGTTTTTGGTCACTGGTGTTCAATGCATCAAATCTATTATTTAGATGGTCTCTATATTCAGGAGGGATATAATCAATGTCTTATTTTGGCTCTTGTGGACTTCTTTTCATTGTCTTCAACTTCAACTTGAACTTGCATATGAGCAGTTGATGGTCTGTTCCACAATCAGTTCCTGCCCTTGTTTTGGCTGAAGATATTGAGCTTCTCCATTGCCTCTTGCCACAGATGTAGTCAATCTGATACCTGTGTCCTCCATCTGGTGAAGTCCATGTGTATAGCCACCATTTGTGTTGTTCAAAAAAGGTATTTGCAATGAGTAAGTTGTTGGTCTTGCAAAATTCTATCATGTACTCTCCAGCATCATTTCTATCACCAAGGCCATATTTTCCAACTACTGGTGATTCTTCTTTGTTTCCAACTTTTGCATTCCAATCACCAGTGATAATTAACACTTCTTGTTTGCAAGTTCAGTCAATTTCATACTGCAAAAGTTGGTAAAAATCAATTTCCTCATCTTTGGCTTTGATGGTTGGTGCATAAATTTGAATAACAGCAGTTTTAACTGGTCTTCCTCATAAGTGTATGGATATTATCCTATCACTGACAGCATTGTACTTCAGGATAGATCTTGATACATTCTTTGGATTATGAATACCATGCCATTCTTCTTCAATTTGTCATTCCAAGCATAGTAGATCATATGATCGTCTGATTCAAAATGGCCAAAATCAACTCACTAATGCCTAGGATATCAATCTTTATGCATTCCGTTTCATTTTTGACAACTTCCAATTTTCCTAGATTCATACTTTGTATATTCCATGTTCTGATTATTAATGGGTGTTTGCAGCTGTTTCTTCTCATCTTGAGACATGCCGCATCAGCAAATGGGGGTCCCATAAGCTTTTGTCTATGTACATCATTAAGGTTGACTCTACTTTGAGGAGGCAGCTCTTCTCCAGTCGTATTTTGAGTGTCTTCTGACTTGCAGAGCTCATCTTCTGGCTCCATATCAGACAATGTTTCAGAGCTATTCATAAAGTTTTCCAGTAATATATCAGACAGTGTTTCACTGCTAATCTTAAAGTTTTTGCTGGCCAATTCTTTGAGAAGTGGATGGCCTCTTCCTTCTCCCAAGACTGTCTTAGTCTGAAAACTCCACTGAAATCTGTCCACCATGCATAACCCTGATGGCATTTGAAATATCAATGGCATAGACTCCAGCCTCACAGCAACACTCAGTTGCCACCACAGTACAACAAACTGACAGACAAATCTGTCTCCCTTAGCTATTCCAAACTGTTCTGTTCATTTCCTGGTCTCCCCCACCCTGCTCACTTACCTGGCCTGACTCCAGGGCTCAAAACCCTCATTCCACTGCTCTCAGGGCTGGCTCACCACAGCCTGTCTCCATGCACACAAACTCCTCCTTTCTGCTGCTCCAGGGCTGGCTGATGACCTACTAAGTTCTTAAAATTATTTATTAATTGCTCTATAAGGATTAATTAAAAATTTTTGAGAAATGTAACCTGGAATCTTTTTATGTTTTACCACAGATAGATTTATTCTACATTAAAGCCGTTTTGGTTAGAAGTCAGAGTTGGAAATATTCTAAAACAATTCTCAACTCTTTTCTCTCCCTTTTGTCTTTCAGATTCCACTAATATACCTTCAGGTAAGCAGCAAGAAATGTTCCATAATTAAAAAGAAAGCAATGGATTTAAGAAAATGTTCTTATTGAGAGGTTCTTCCAGTATCCCATAAATTTCACTAAGGAAGAAGTCTTCAAGCTCTCACATTGGTCTGAATGATTATAACTCTTCTCCCCTCCCCAGCACCCACTACCACTCCATTTGTCCTCTTTGTGAATAACATAGCAGTTTTCATAGATTCATTTCATAGTACTGATGCTTGTAGGCTGTTTTATAGATTATTGTTAATTTATCCATAGGACCCCAAAGGAAATCGCATCACACAATGGCAAAATGTCAAGCTAGAGAATGGACTCCAGCAGTTGTACTTTCCCCTCTCATCAGAACCCTTCCAGGGCACCTACAAGGTGGTGGTACAGAAGGAATCTGGCAGAAGGATAGAGCACCCCTTTACCGTAGAAGAATTTGGTATGAATCGTGGAAAATCTGGCAACATATTTTCTTTGTATTTAAACTGGACATCAAGGACCTAGAATTTGAGCTCATTTGGAGGTCTTCCATTTCCCAAGGGTGAGAGTAGGTTTGGAGTAGAACCAATTATACCTAACTCCAATGACAACCATAGATGTTTTGTGAAATATAGTAGTTTCATGTAGTTTGATTAATTTTTATAGTAATGTTTATAATCTAAAAAAAAAATGTGAACATTTTTGTTTCAAGGATATGTTCCCTAATTGCTAAGGTTACAGTGATCTGTCATAGTCCTTCACCCAGAATCTCCATTAGAGAACAAGGTGAATACAAAAGAAAGTACAGCCACCTTTTCAGAGCCCTAAAATATCATTAGTGAATAGTTACAGAGAACTTGGAAATATTAATTTCCCACAAGTTCAAAACCAATCACCAAATTCCTTTATCTCTGTCAACAGTGCTTCCCAAGTTTGAAGTGCAAGTAACAATGCCAAAGATAATCACTATTTTGGAAGAAGAAGTAAATGTGTCAGTGTGTGGCCTGTAAGTTGATTGGTCTCTGCTGCTGTTATTGTTTTTTAAAAAATCTTTTGGGGAAAAGTATTTTAAAAAATTCACCATTTGGGATATTTTGGCTGGTTTCTCTTGGAGCAGTGACAGCACAAATACTTTAAGTACTTGGGAGTACTTCCACCTCTAGAATTCCTTCTTTTGTTGCTTTTTTATTTTCCCTTCTTATTTTCTTTCATGATCTTACTAGTTTGCCATCATGGGGTGGGGAACTGTTCCTAGTAAGGATATGCTATTAAGATTAATTCTGAAAGTGACAAAGTAACCTACACCAAAAAAATGGGACAGTGTGGAAGAGTAGTAACTTTTCCTTCACCAGAAATAATCAACATATATTAGGCAGATAATTAACACGTGGTTGTAGAGGAAATGGAGTCATTAAACAGATCATTCACCTGACTTAGCATGCATAGTAAGGAGCTCTGGTGGTATAGTGGTTAAGGCATTTGACTCTTAACCAAAAGGTCAGTGGCTTGAACCCACCAGCCACCCTGCAGAAGAAAAATGAGACAGTCTGCTTCCATAAAGATTTACAGCCTTGCAAACACAGTGGGGGTCACTCTGAGTCAAAATCGACCCATTTGGTTTTTCTCTAAAGAGAATCTAGGTTCAGAATTTGTAGAGATAGTTAACTATATATCTGTTTACCTAAGATGTGCCACTTACCTCTCTGCACTATCACTTTTGCTATGGAGACTGAACATTATCTCTCAGCATGGTCCCTTCCAACTTTGAAAAGGAGACTGAACATTATCTCTCAGCATGGTCCCTTCCAACTTTGAAAACCTATGTTTCTAAGATCTTATACTCTCATCCCCAACAGCCCAGCAGTAGCAGAAAGAGCAGGCCAGGTGAAGAAACCAGTCCTACTTTAAGGACCATATATGTAAGACATCTACATATTTAGTTGTTTAGTTGAGCCGATGCCCTAGTACTCAGAGTAATGGCCACCAAGTCTATCAGACTGTGTGAACCAATGATCCTGCAAATAGAGATAATTAAAAAATAATAATGCTATCAAGTTGATTCTGACTCAGCAACCCTGTAAGACAGAGTAGAAGTGCCCTATAAAGTTTCCAAAGCTATAATTTTTATGTAAACAGACTGCCACATCTTTCTCCCATGGTGCAGTTGGTGGGTTCGAACCACTAACCTTTTGGTTAGCAGCCCAGTACTTTAACCATTGTACTACCAGGGCTACTAAATAGAGATAGAGATGACTTTTAAAATAGGGAAGGAAAGAAAAACTCTTGAAAATCCAGCCATCATCAATAATAGATTTGTGGCATGATACCATTTTTATAAAACATAAACAAGTAAAATTGTATAAAGATAGAGATGGCTAGTGTGGGGAGAGGATTATGGAAAGAAAGACACTGTGGTATTAATAATTTGTATTCCTAGATAGAACTGAGGGTGTTACTTTTTCTCTTTATTTATTTTTGATAACTTTTTTTCTCTCAGAATGTTTAGCTCCTGCAATTTAAAAGATTTTTTAAAGATGAAATTGAAAAGAAAAAAAAATAAGGTAAAAAGGTATGATAAGAGAAGAATGGAATAAATTTCAGTATGCGGCAGTGGAGGTTTCTAAAAGAGAAAGGTCTTTCTTTACTCAGTTCACTGTGCTCTCAACGCTGTGTTAGCCTTCAACACTACAGAGATTTGACATAAGTATGTTGTTGTTGTTGTTATGTGCCCGACTCATAGCGACCCCTCTTTGGGTTTCCGAGGCAGTATCACTACGGAAGTCGATTGCCTGTCTTCCTTCCGAGGAGTGGCTGGTGGGTTTGAACCACCAGCCTACTGGTTAGCAGTCAAGTGCCTTAGGCACTATGCTACCAGAGCTCCCTTGACATAAGTATAGAGAATGAATATACTATAGGTAAAGAAGAAACATAAATAAGTAAAAAATGGGAATGTTCAGTGTCTACTTTGGTTCAATTGGTAATATTCTCATGACAGGTATACCTATGGGAAGCCGGTCCCTGGACATGCAACTGTGAGCATATGCAGGAAGTATAGTAACCCTTCTAACTGCTATGGTAGAGAGTCACAGGCACTCTGTGAGAAATTCAGTCAGCAGGTAGGTGGAAAACTGCTCTTGCTAGAGGCTAACAGTAGAGGATTGTTGACAAGCAGTGAATTGCAACATGGAAATTAGAAAGAGAATAATCTGGAAAAGAATTCTATGCTAGCTATTGTGAATTTTTTTTTAATCAGTGTCTTAGCACAATAGAAATTACTTATTTCTTATAATTGTCCAATGTGGTTGTTCTTCATCAGCCAAACACCCCAAATGGTGGAAGTTCAGCCATCTCTAATACTTGGCACTCAAAGGCTCCTTGAGTGTCTACTTCTGTGAAAGAAGAAGAAACATACAACTCTTGACCATCTTGGCACGGATGGGGTCAGTTCTACTCTCTTTCTGTGAGCAAGAACATGTCACCAGCCCCATCTAAATGTCAAAGAGCTAGAAAACAATCTGTGGATGGGCAGATACTTCCCAGGCACAGATGTATTCTGTGGGGAAGGGGAACCGAACCATGGTTTGTTGAAAAGTTAGCTGCCTGCTGCAGTAAGCTTATAAAAATATTTTTAAAGGCATTTCTATCTCATTCACTCTAGGGAATTTCAGATACTGAGGAATATAAGACAGATACTGTTGTGAAATGAAATAATAATTAGTCCTCAGAGAATATTTATTGAGTCCTTATTATAGAAAATCCCTAGGTAATGTTGGCAATGGGTTCCTGGGTGGCACAAATGGTTAACAAGCTTGACTATTAACCAAAAGGTTGGAAGTTCAAGTCTACCCAGATATGCCTTGAAAGAAAGGCCTGGCAATCTATTTCCAAAAAAACCAACCATTGAAAACTTTATGAAGCACCGTTCAACTCTGACACACATGGGATCACCATGAGTTGGAGCTGAGTCAATGGCAATTCTTTTAGTTGTTTGGTTTTTTTTTTTAATGTTGTCAAAAAAAAAAACAAAACACCACCACTGATATGTGTATTATAACATATATGATTTTTTGTATTTTACTTCTCAGCTAAACAGCCATGGCTGCTTCTCTCAGCAAGTAAACACCAAGATCTTCCAGATGAAGAAGCAAGAGTATGAAATGAAACTTCAAATGGAAGCCAAGATCCAAGAAGAAGGAACAGGTTTGTATGCCACACAGGTATGAGAGAAAAACAATGGACATTGACTTATTTCCTTTGCTAAAATGTAAGTTGAAAGAGAAGATAGTACAGGAGGTTTGGGAAGATCATCCTTCCAAAAACAACTTATTTTCTGTTTCATCTTTTTTAGAGGTAGAATTAACTGGAACTGCTTCCAGTGAAATTACAAGAACCATAACTAAACTCTCGTTTGTGAAAGTGGATTCAAACTTTAGACAAGGCATCCCTTTTTTTGGACAGGTAAGAGTATTTCACAATTCACATATAAAACCAGATACTATATAACATAATAGGAGCTCTGATAGCATAGTGCCTAAGGCACTTGACTGCTAACCAGAAGGCTGGCGGTTCAAACCCACCAGCCACTCCTTGGAAGGAAGATGGGGCAATCTACTTCCGTAGTGATACTGCCTCAGAAACCCAAGGAGGGGTCGCTTATGAGTCTGATCCAGCTCAACGGCACATAACAACAACAACATCATATAACCTAATAAACTCAATATATCCTTCTAAAACCATACCCACTTAATGTGATCTGTTGATTAACATAACCAAAAGTATGAAACCACACGAAAATAGGTTTGTATACAAAATCTACGAAACCATACTAGAAGGTTTTTCTTTTGTTTTGTTTTTACTTTTGGAACAGTGCTGTATGATGTCATTCAAACCATTTCATGGTTTACCAGGCAGTCTCAATTTTTATGACACTTTCTTATAAGAATAACAAACTCCACGGCTGCCATTTACTTTCTAACATTAACTATCTTGATTATCTAGTGCTGCTATGGGTACCCACAAATGGGTAGCTTTAACAAACAGAAATTTTATTTTCTCACAGTTTAAGAGGCTAGAAGTCCGAATTCAGGGCACCAGCTCTAGGGAAAGATTCTCTCTGTCTCTCTGTCTCTCTGTCTCTCTCTCTGTTCTCCATCTCTCTATCTGTCCACTCTGTGGGAAAGTCCTTATGTCTTGTCAGCTTTTAGGGGTTCCTTGGAAATTTTCATATGGTATGGCATCTTTCTTCCCCCATCTCTGCTTGCTTCTTCTGTGTCTGAGCTGCTCTTTTTATATCTCAAAAAGTAACTGGCTTAAGAAACATCCTGTTGTTGCTATTGTTATGTGCCGTGGAGTCACCTGACTCATGGTGACCCCTCCTTAGGTTTCCGAGGCAGTATCACTACAGAAGTAGATTGCCCCATCTTCCTTCTGAGGAGTTGCTGGTGGGTTTGAACCACCAGCCTTCTGGTTAGCAGTCAAGTGCCTTAGGCACTATGCTACCAAAGCTCATCCTACCCTACACTAATACTGTCTCATTCATATATAAAAAAAGAAAATGCATTCCCAAATGAGATAATAACCACAGATACAGTGGTTAGGATTTACAACACATATTGTTTAGGGGGACACAATTTAATCCATAACACTACCTTATATCAAATTGGATGGGGTAGGTGGTTTTCATTTTTATTTTTAAGCATGAAAGACTCCACTGTACCTAGTATTTCCTTCATAGGTATAATATGGGCATTATTTTCTCTATAATAACAAGTATATTTTTAAAAAACAATATATGTGGGGATAAAATACTGCTATTTAAGGTTCACAGGTTTAATAGATTTTCTCATGGATCTACAAAACATCTTAGACTGTGATTTTTCTATTGTAAGCAAGTACGAAAGGATCTGAAGACAAAATTCTGAAATGGCAGTTGTGCATACCTTAATGTGTAATTACTGTTTCGTGTTCTTAATGGAAATACTATGGGAATTCAACTATGGAGGGTGTAAATGATTGAGGGGCTAGAATTGACAAAGGAGCGTTAGAGTACACTTGAGAGTGTTTTGATTTTGTTATCACAGCAAAAGTATTCAGACACATTGGCCAATCCCTAAAAGGAATGTATAGTTCATTTTTAACTTCTCACAGGCATATTATCTTTTTAAAATATTTTATTACTGCTAAGTAATTATTCTGGGAGCTCTGGTAGCATAGTGGCTAAGACACTTGCCTGCTAACCAGACGGCTGGCGGTTCAAACCCAGCAGCCACATCTCGGAAGGAAGGTTGGGCAATCCTACTTCCGTAGTGATACTGCCTCGGAAACCCAAGGAGGGGTCGCTATGAGTTGGGGCCGACTCGACGGCACATAACAACAACAACAACAACAAGTAATTATTCTATTAGTCACAGGACCCTTTCCCCTCAAGATGAAGAATCAGAATATTGTGTCTATCTTTGTCTTTGTACATACAGCCTACAGTTTATTGGGAAACTTAGGCTTTTGTAAGCAATCATAATAATGAGCCAAGTCTGCTAATAGTACTTCCTTCTGCAAAAGCAGCTAATGCTGCCAAAAGTTCACTATCTCTTATAATCTGAACCAAACCACTCATCTGCTGAGTTCAAAATTAGTAGTAACTTGGCTTTAGGCCTTTATTTAATATTGAGTGCCTCTTTTCAATTCTACATTTTTCATATGGAAGTACCTCATAAAACTTACCGGCCTTCCAAAAGATTGATAATCTAGGTTAAGAAGCAGTTATCATGTATAAAACAACTAGAAAAACCCACGGAACAATGTATTAGCTATTGCTTTACTTTTGCATTTATTATACTTCAGAACACTTATGTATAAGAAGTTAATAGTCTGCCACAAAATAAGTGTGTTTGGGGCTCAAGTAAATTTGGCTAATGAGTTAAAAAAAAGTTTTCATTACTGTATGATTCTTGTGCTCTATGACTTTACAAGAATTATATATAATACATGGCATTTTCAAATATCCACAGAATATCTTTGTCAGGTCACTCTTACTATCATGATCATCATTCTCTATCTCTTTACACTGCTTTATTTTTCTTCTTAGGATTGATTATTACTAGATGGATGGATGGATGGTTGGATAACCACTATATATGTGTATGGGTGGGTGGGTGGGAGTGTGTGTCTATGTGCATTATATGTTACTTACTAAGCACCTGTCTTTCACTAGCTTTTAAGCTATATTATGGTAGGGACTATGTTTTCTTCCCTGCTATAGCTCCAGTTTCTAGAACTGTGTCTGATCCACAGGAAACACTCAACAAATATTTCTGGTAAAATGAGTTTGTTTGATCCCTATTAAGTATTACCCATTTAACTAATCTGTAGCTTTTAACTTTTCAGGTACGCCTAGTGGATGGGAAAGGCGTCCCCATGCCAAATAAAATCATTTTCATTCAAGCAAATGAAGCTCACTATCACTCCAATGCTACCACTGATGAGCATGGCCTGGTGCAGTTCTCCATCAATACCACCAGCGTTATGGGTACCACCTTCACTGTCAGGGTAAGCTTAGAAAGAAGTTACCAATGAATTAAGTAACCTTGGAAACAAGGTTATAATTTAAAAATGATGAAATGCCCAAGTTATGTTTAGTCCTAACAAGAGAAAAAACAGGAAATTGGAAACTGTGTTAAGGTCAACTTTGAAAAATTTATAAGGAGGCAATATAGGGCAGTGGTTAAAACTGCAGGTTATAGAATCAAATAAACTGGATAAAAATCCTGGCTCAACTTTTATGTTAAGAGCAAATAACCAAAACATCCTGTGCTTCATTTCCTTACCTGTTAAATGGGTACAATATTAGTACCTACTTCTTGGGGTTGTTAAAAGTCTTCAATGATATATAGTACTTTGTAAGCCTCTTTTAAAGGAGCTCTGGTGGTGCAGTGCCTAAAGCATTTGACTGCTAACCAGAAGGCTGGCAGTTCAAACCCACCAGCCATTTAATGGAAGGAAGACTGGGTGGTCTACTTCTGTAAAGATTTACTTGGAAACCCAATGGGGATCGCAATGAGTCAGAATTGACTCAATGGCAGTGGATTTGGTTTTTGGGTTTTGGGAAGCCTCTTTTAACTGCTAAATATTATTTTAAAAGCCCATTTTCACATCATTGGTATTTAGTTTGTTTCTCCTGATATTTTAATTATCTCCAAATGGCTATTTATGCCCATATAATTTGTTTTGTATAACACAGAAGCCTCTGTACAACGATATAGATGTAGATACACATATATAGATATATATGTGGATACACTTAATAGAAATTGCATAATTATAGTGATGGAAATCTCCTCCCTCTTAGAAGTTTTCCTGTTGGTCTAAAGAAGGGATAAAGAATGTATTTTATATCTTCTGTTTTAAATAGATGCATAAAAGCCATACCCCCAATAACTCAAAATTGAATGTTAATTCATTCATTCAATCAAGAAATATGCCTTGAATGCTTTCTATGTGCTATTCCTGACAATGAAAATGTTTTTAAGTGTTCCCTCTTGTTGATGATCATATATATGTAATCACTAAAGCAGATATAGAAATGAACAATGATTCACTCATGCTACCTTGGGAGGGGGGAGGGGGAGGGTGGAGGAAGTCTGGAAAGAGCTAAGGAATAATTTCTCCAGGGAAATATAACCCAAATAAGACCATTGAGGCCTAAGTGTCCAGAACCACAGGGACCATTAACAATAATCAACCCACTATTGTCCAGGAAATGCAGACTTCAGCTTATTCATTCACCAAGTCAACTAACTCTTTGAGCCAATGCTATTTACAGAAAGTTTCTTGGGCCTTTAAGGAATGTTACATTTATTCATAATTCCCACTTGAGGCAACCTAGAGGGAGCTCTCATAGCATAGTGCTAAGGCACTTGACTGCTAACGATAAGGCTGGAGGTTCAAACCCATCAGCCACTCCTCGGAAGGAAGATGGGGCAATATACTTCTGTAGTGATACTGCCTCAGAAACCCAAGGAGGGGTCGCTATGAGTTGGGTCCTACTCTGCAGCACATAACAACAACAACATCATAAAAAAGAAGCAATTACTTCCTGAAGATTAACTCTTCTGTCTCTGGAGGTTATTTACTCTTCTCAATAAGATGTCATAGTTCCAGTGTCTCTGTCTGCATAGGTAAAACAGTCAAATCAAGAAATACCAAGCAAACTAATCAAAACAAAGAATGCCTCATTTTATGCTCTGCAGAAACATAAATACCAACCCCCAGAGCTTCTGCAGGGTAAGGACACAAACCATGCTTTTATCTGGTATTAACCAAAAATAAGGTACCCTTCTCTCTCAGTTGTAAGTGTGGAGCAAAAGATTCCTAGCTACTCTTTCAGGTAAGACAGTATAGTTTTGTAGTTTTGTGAGAATATTGATTCTTTATAGTATATAATCTATAAAATAATACTGCCTTTCTAATTCATTAGGTCAAACACAGGGATAATAGTCCGTGTTATGGCTACCAATGGCTATCAGAAGAAAATGAAGAAGCACACCAAACTGCTAATCGTGTATTCTCCCTAAGCAAGAATTTTGTCCGCCTTGAGCCTTTGGCTCATTCACTGCCCTGTGGTCAAACTCAGAAGGTCCAGGTGTATTATATTCTGAATGGAGTGGCCATGAAGGATCTGAAGGAACTCGTCTTCTATTACCTGGTGAGAAGGGAGATTCATCTTTAGACAAAAGCTCTCTGTGGGGCAAGAAATTATGAAGCACTTTAGACATCATCATTCCAATTTCTTATCCATGTTTCTCTTGAACATTTGACTTCTCTTGGAGCTAATTATTGCCAGCAGGGACTCAATAGCAAGAACACCACATAAATGACAAGACTTGGGGGTAAGTTCTCTGTCAAGCTAATTAAATGCCTTTATATAATTTTATGCAGATTATGGCAAAGGGAGGCATTGCCCTAACTGGAACTCATGCTCTGCCTATAGAGGATGGAGAAAGTAAGTGTTCCCATTACCTGCACATTTCTGCCCCAACCTGATACATTTGTCCCTACACTGCAGAAATACCAGGAATGTTTTCACATAAAGAGAGAGAACTTCCATTTAATCTCAATTAAGAGGATGTTGATGGGTGGAGGGGAGGGGATAATGATGTTTCTTTTTTTTCCACTTGTTATCAAGTATTTCTTTTTTCCTCAGGTTATTTAAAATGTTGATTTGTTTTTAATCTATAAACTTTTTCCAAACTTTTAAACCATAAACATTCATGGACCTTCTCTTTCTCAACATGAAAGAGATTTAAGATTTTTTTTTTTTTTTTTTTTTTAAAGACAATGGAGGGAAGGAAAAGTAAAATCTAGGGATCCCTTCTATGTATTAGGTTTTGTGCTTGGTCATTTGTATTGGTCATTTACATTGTTGTATCTTAGCTCTCCTTTGAAGACAGTTATGATTTATGAAGAGTTAAACTGTGTGTGTGTACCACTGATTTTGATGCTCTCTGTGAATACGAAAAGGAGCTCTGGTGGTGTAGTGAGTAAGGCATTTGGCTGCTAACCAGCAGGTCAGTGGTTCAAACCCCCTAGCTGCTTAGTGGGAACAGTCTGCTTCCATAAAGATTTACAGCCTTGGAAACTCAATGGAAGTCCATAGGAGTTGGAATTGACTCGATAGCAGTGGATTTGTTGGGTTTTTTGTTTTGTTTTGTTTTGTTTTGTTTGTTCTGTTTTGGGTGAATATGAAACAATATAAGCCTATGATACTTTCACCTAATCAAATGCTTTCTAAAAGATAACTTGTTAGAAAACTATCAGTGAACTACTTTTTTATCACTCCTTCGTAGCAATACACAAGCACTATAGTAGTTGTAAGAAAGCTTAATTCAACCTCTAAAAACTTTATGTAGGATTCAGAAATAACTCAAAAGTTTAGATGAGAAGCCCCAAATCCATTAAATGGGGAAGAGAATGTTTGTTTAATAAATGGTGCTGGCAAA